CGCGGCGAGCAGCCTTCCAAGGACCCTAAGTGTACTGGGCAGGGTGCAATGAATGGTTAATAAAGGGTGGACAATGGTGCCTGATTGAGGCTCTGGTTGTGTCCTGCCCATCCCCGAGTGGCAGAACCATGGTCCAGGCTGTTGTACAGCACTTAGTGCAAAGGGAACAGCCCCACACCACAGGTGAGGTGGGAACAGACCTGTGGGTCATCTGTTCCAGCCTCCCTGTTTAAGCAGGTTCATCCTAGAGCAGCTGTCACAGCATCACATTCAGATGGTTCCTGAATATCTTTTGTGAGGGAGACTCCACAGCCTCTCTGGGCAATCTGTTCCAGTGCACAGTCACACAGTAACTGCCCTGGCACAGTCACAGGGACAACTGAAGAACAAGCTACATGCTGCCCTTCATGAAAAGGAACACGAGGAAGAGAGAACAGAGATTCTCGAGGGAGAGATTTCTCTGCTGGAAGACCAGCTGGCCAAGCTGGAAGAGTGGTGCTCAGGAGAACGGAGAAGTCATGGGGGATATTCTGAAGCTTGAGGAGCTGAAGCAGGAGGTATTCAGCCTCACTGCCAAAAGAACAAAACTCCAGGCCATGGTCCTGTGGCTGGAGGAGAAGCAGCTACAGGAAGCAGCCTGGCAGTCTGACTGTGGCCACTTCGAGGAGGAGAAGCAGCAGCTGGGCAGCCTCATCTCCAGCCTCCAGAGCTCCCTCTCCAAGGGCCCAGGAGAGACTGGAGCAGCATCTGCAGACACAGGATGCCAAGAGACAGCCTGGGCAGCCGCTTGCCTTCAATGTCCAGCATGAGCAGACAGGAAAGGAACTCTGTCCTGCAGCAGCTCCAGCACCTGCAGGCAGCCAGTGCATCCCTGTGCAGGTACACATGGATACCAGCCATGGGCCGAGGAGCCCCAACGTGCTCTAGGGTGCTGCAGAGGCACAGATGTAGCCAGCTGAATGGCAGCTCTGTTATTCAGACCGTTGCATGGTTTAAATACATTACATACATTTCTACAGTGCATTAGAACAATACATTTTGGGTCAGTCAAATGCAGCTGGGCCCGGCCGGGGAGTTGGGATCTCCACTGCTGCCCCCTCTGTGCTTACACAGCCAGTGCTGAGTCCCCTCCCCATTGCAGGAGACAAGGCAGCTGCTCTGCCTTCCAGGTTCACCTGCCTTCATCCTTCTCACTCCCCAAAGGTGGGCTAACAGAACAGCAAGACCCAACACTGACCTTCCCCAGCAGCCTGAGAAGTCACAGCTGAAGGCAAGCAGGTGCAGGCAGCAGCCCTGGTGCTGTTTTATACAACACAAGCTCAGCAGCTGCTGGTAAGAGGGGCTCCCTGCCTCTTCACCCACAGCAGGCCTGCGAGATTTGTCAGCTCCAGGGCAGCCAGGAGTCCATGCTGGTTCCCCAGTGCTCCCACCCATGTGGCAGAAGAGCCCCTCCAGCCCTTCCCTGGCAACCCCTGCTCCTCAGAGGGTCCCTAGGCACAGACAAGGCTGGCACCATGCTGGCTGCACAGCAGCCAGGGAGCTTGCTAGGAGAGGAAAGAAAGTCAAGCGAGAGCAGCTATGGAGCCCAGGCAGGAGAAATGGACTGGGGCAAAAGGGGAGAGCTCCCATGGGAGAGCTCTGCGAAGCCACCTGCTCTTCACATGGACAAGCCAGCACCTTTTTTACCTTAGTGTCTAACTGCATCCAAGCCAGTCCCCTGTGTTGTCCCTCTTATGTCCCCTCCTCGAGCCTCTAGCCAGAGAACAGCCACTCATTGTGGTCCCCGCTACCCCAGTGGGCAGCAGGAACTCCCCCTGAGGAAAGCAGCGTGCACGGGGTTGGGGCACTGGAGGGACAGTGGAGGAGTACAGCACACCCTCAGGGAAATGGAAGGGGTATCACCTGCTAAAGGCCTTCCCAGCCTGGCAGCTGGCATGGTGGGGAAAAGAAGGGCCAGTGGCTGGTGTAAAGGGCTGGACGGATGCTGGCTCAGGTAGCCCGTTCATCCCAGCCCCAAGCAGGGGTGCTCAGAACCGCATGCAGGCCAAGGAACAGAGGCAGGAGCAGGGTCCCAGCCATGCCACAGTTCCTGGTAGATTCCCACACCTCCTCCTGGCCCCTGCCCCAGGCAGGGCACCAAGCTCCAATGGAGCTGGGGAGGGACCATGCCCAATCTGCCTGGCTCCTCCAGTTCAGCTGCAGGTTCCTCCAGTCGCATCTGCTCGCTCTACCCTGAAGGTCGAGTCCCAGCCACAGGAGGCAGCAGTGGCCCAGCTCCTCTTGCAGTGCTAGTCCGAGGCGGCCAAGCCCTGCCCACGGCTCCTGCAGCTACCACCATGAGAAGAAAGGCTTCCGGCTCTGGAAGCTCTGCGTGTAGGACTCACTGGCAGAGCGCTGGTGGGAGCGCGCTGTTTCCACAATCACGGGCGGCATCTGAACCAGGTGCAGTGGGCTCTTCCCATCCTTCAACGCCTGAGTCAGGTTCAGGATCTGTGTGGCACAACAGAGCACTGCCTGAGCTGCCCTGCCTGAGCAACAGAGAGCACCCACTCCAGGCAAAGGCAGGACAAGGCTTCCCACCTCATCCGTCTGTCTTCCCTATGCTTACCTGACCTCTCATGACAGCAATCTGCTTGTGAAACTGTCCCCTGTCAAAGCCAGGGTCTTTCTGCAAGAGAGACAGCAAAGAACACAATGAGATCCACCCACTGCTTCATGCAGTCAACAAGATGCCTATTCCCCAAGTAAGCCACACCCCCTGTCCTGTCCCATGGGTTTTCTGCTTCTCCCACATTGAATCTTCAGCTTCTGGCAGAAGGATAACCCTGCTGTGTCTCAGCCCAGAAACACTGTCAGGAGCTTGACCACCTCTGTCCCTGCAACCTTGACAGGGAGTTCCCCAATACGACTCCCGCTTTTCCTCCTCCCACATCATCTTCACCCACTCCTCCAGCTCACCTTGAAGAGCTCATACAGATCTTCCTCCAGGTCCTTGACAAAGTTGGGGTCTGAAATCTTGGGAAGAATCAGGTCCTTGATCTCCTGTGAAAAGGGGATTTTGGCCTGGGGCAGCCATGCCCAGTAGAACGGATCTGTGGAAGAAAGCAGGAGACATTAGAACTGGGGAATGCAATGCAGTGCCCCTGGGTGCCAGCTTCCCTGCATCTGGGACACAGGGTCCAGCATCTGCCTTCTACAGTCTCTGCTGAGGAGCTGCCCATGAACCCACAAGTTGCAGAGGCACAGCCCTAGCCCTCTCCTCTACAATCCTTGGAAAGGATGCCCAGCATGGAATTGTGCAGCTTGCCATGGTGCCTTGGCATAGCCTGGGGGACTCACATGCTCTCCAGGAGTCCGGGTGTTTCAAGGGAAAGGCCAAACCATTGTCTATAGCAGCCAGCTTGATGATGGGCTCCTTCACCACCACCCAGTCGCTGTCCTGGAAGGAAGTGAAGCATGTCACAAGGAGGTCCTCCCAGCAGGAACAGTCCTTCTCCTACTCCCTGCAGCCCCTCCCTGGCTACCACAGAGGCACAGCAGCCTCTTGCCTGTAGCATGGCACCTTAACCACAGGAAGACAAAGGCTGCTTTGGGTGGGTAGGGGGACAAGGCTGTTTCCCCCCCAGGCCTCACTCCAAGGTCCAGCAACACCAGTTTCCCCCACAGAGTTCAGCTGCATCCTCACAAAGTCCCACTAGGCCACAAGTCACGAACACAAATGGTAACAAAAGGCCCAGGAGACAAGATAAAGCCTCAACACACTTGGAAACCCAAAGCAGATGAGAAATTCCCATCCTGCCTGCCAAGCTGGCAGCTTCCAGAAGCAGAGTCCCTGTGTTGCCCCTGCCCGGGAGCAGCCACTTACCCGCACGCCAGCACTGTCCAGGGGACAGTCATACTTGATGAGCCAGTTGTCATTGCCCCGATCTGCAGGGAGATAAAACCAGCTGTGTCACCATCAGGGCCTCCCTGCACCAGGCTGGGAAGAAGACTATTCCTCCTCTGACCCAAAAGTGAGACAGACACATTTTAGGCCCAAACTCCCAGAGCCCTTAAACTTGCTGCAGGCAAGTTTGGGAAGCCACATCAAGCCCCTCACAGACAGCCCTAGAAGTGCCAGCTCCCAAGAGAAAGGTCAGCCTGCAAGCCCCAGAGTGCAACCTCAATCCCTTCCAGCCTAGCAGAAACTCAGAAACACGGTGTGAAATGGGATATACAGGGGCACAGTTAGGTGCTGGATTTCTGGATGTCCCTGGATCCTCACAGTTGGCAAACTTTCACCTGAGCACCATGGTAGATACAGATCTGCCAGCAAACTGGCCAGCAGCCAGAGCCTCAGGTGGTGAGCAGCCCAGCAGCTGCACTCTGCCTAGAGGCAGATGTCACCTGGCAGCAGCTGAGGGGAGAGGAGTTTCAGGAGCAGAGAAAAGCCATGGAGACCCTATCTCCCTCCCCCTTCTCCAGCATGGTAGGACATGAAGGAGCAGCAGCATCCATGGCAGGCAGCTGGCCCTACCTGTGTTCCTGATGATGTAGTCCAGCACCACCAGCCGCTCGAACTGCAGCAGCAGCTGCCGATTTGTGTTCTCCGGGAGCGGCTCGGCTTCAAAGCGCCGCAGCCAGTAGTCTGCATCCTTGTAGCCTTCCACAAAGAGTTGGAAGGAGCCCACCTGAGGCAAGGACAGGCTGCATTACACAAGGCCACAGAGGCCAGGGAGGTGCTAACAGGCAGGCATGGAGGCTGGCAGCCCTACCTTGGGTGGCAGACCAATGCGGTTGAAGCGCTGGCCAACCTTCGGCACCTTCTCCAGGGCCAGCCTCTTTCCTCGGGACTTCACCCTGTCAATGGCACTGTAGTTAAAGGTCTCACTGGCCAGATACACCACCTGCAGGGACATGAGCACAGTCAGAGGGGCCTCTCGCAAATCACAGGACTGCCCAAAAAGACACAGCATTTCCCAGAGCTCTGCCCAGCACAAGGATCCCCATGGTTTGAGCAGGGACAGTCCTACTCTAGAGCACTCAATCTCCTAGACCAGCAGTGACACAAGATAAGGTGCAAGGAGAGCTGTGTGGACACACACAAAAGCCTCCCCAGAAGAAGCTCCCAGCAGCCGTCCCCTCACCTTTGTGCGGGGAACAATGTTGAGTTCCAGTTTCTGGTCTACCAGGCTGGCACCTGCCTCTGACAGGTAGCCCTGGTTCAGGACAAGGCAGTCTCTCCCAAAGCAGCATGGGCAGCACAACTTCTGCAGCCACTTGGTCCACTTGGGGTTCAGCTGCCCATAGGGCTCCTCATTCTTGGGCTTGAAGACGCCGATGATTTTCTGTGAGTGGGAGAGAAGAGGCTGAGTCCAGGAACTGGCAGAGCTGGGACACTTTTCTCAGCCCACAGCAGGGATACTAAGGAACAGGTCCAGAACTGCCCCTCATTATGATAATAACCAGCCTCCTGGGATCAGGCAAAACTCCACAGCTCCCAGGAGGGAGGTACCCAGAGCTGGGAAGAAGCCCTCTCCAGCCAGTATCCCATCCCACAAGAGCAGAGTGCTGCCCAGAGACCTTTATACCCAACAGGAGTCCCAAAAAACACCAATGATGATGCAGTCTCCTGGTAAACACATCAGTCTCATCCCAGTGACCTTTGGATGGCGGGGGAGAGCTCATCGTTGGTCATTATGTTCACACAGGAAAGGGGCAGGATAGCAATCCCTGCCCTGGCTCAAAAATCCATTGAACAGAACTGATCCCAAACTGACCAGAGGAAAAGAACCATAACAGCCGAGCACCTGCAGGACCCCTGAGGAGCCAGGGCTCTGTACTGGGGAGTCCAGCAGAAGGGCTGACTTTCTGGATACACTGTGGACAAGAGGGCACAGGCAGCCCCAAACCGGCCACCAGCTGGTACCAGCAGCACTCCCAGCCCCTCAACCCAGCTTCACACACATGCCAATCCAGCAGTGGGGACAGCAGTGTAGGTATCCCCCTGTGCAGAGGGCACAGAAGCCTTGTGCAGGGCACTGCACCCCCACTGAGCCAGCACTGCCATGGCACACAGACGAGAGAAGGGCTGGGACAGGAGCAAGGCCACCTGTCCCCACAAGTCAGGCATCCCTGGGGGATGGCAGTCCCTGCTCTGGAGTGACTCAGCATCACATGCAACCAGGCCTTCTCCCCATGGCCACTGCTAGCCCTGGCCTGAGTGGGCATCACTTCCCCAAGCTGAGCTCCTGCCAGAATGTGGAAGTAGAACATGAATCCCAGTGCTCCAGCAGGGAACCTTAATGCAATCTCAGGGGCCAAAAGCCAGGCCAGAGCAAGCAGAGCCAAGGCTCTGTCCACCAGGAAGACAGAAAGGGAGGGTTTGAGGGAAGAGGATCACTTGAGCCATGTCCAGATCACATGGTGGAGCCCCACTTGCCCTAGGCAGGCAGGAAGGCAATCCCCACACCAGCCCCACACGGCTGTCACACGACTGTCAATATATCCATGCTTGAATGTAAGCCCACAAAGAGGCCTGTCAGGAGCTCTGGCAGCATGAAGCCCTGTGCTCCATGGAACCAGTCCAGCAGAACAAGGCCCAGGCAGGCAGGGACAGCATGGAAGCAGACAGCAGAGGCCTGGCAGCACAGCATCCCTTTCCAGACAGAGCCGTGCCGAGAGCAGCACTGACAGGGAAAACAGGTCTGCCTGGTGCCAGCAGCAAGGCAGAGAGAGCCCAGCCAGCTCAGGGGAGCAGCTGGCAGTGGGGTGATCATAACCACTGGGGCTGGGCAGCACAGCCCAGGAACGGCTCAGGCCTCAGTAGCCTCAAGGGAAATAATCAAAGAAGAACGTTTCCCCCCAACCCCCAATATCTTCCTCCTGCTGCTCACAATATCTACATGCTGCACTCTCTCCCGTGCCAGCAGTGGGATGGTTTTTGTAACCCTGGGCAGCAATCACAGCAACCAGTCACACACCACATTTGCTGGCAGCAGGATAATCTGGGGGACCTGCCAGCTGACAGCACCAGCAGTACACAGACTCTGACTTCTCACACTCATGCTTCAGCAGCCATCCTTGAGTTTGGGTCTCCTACAGCCAGGCAGCCTCCAGCCTGCAATCCCCAAGTAGTTAATCTGGCTGCCCACTCCAGGTCTCATATTGGGCAATAGGAGGGAGCTGGCCTGTGGCACAAACGAGTATTTCCACACACACCATCAGCTGAGCTGGGAATTGCCTGCAACAGCTTCTAGGAGCTGGCTTTCACCCAGAGAGGGAAAACTAGGACACATCAGAAACCACAGAGCTCACTCCTGATTCCCTGGAAGCAGCCCAGCACACACGTGGCAAGGGAGCCATAGGAAACAGCAAGAGCTCAAGTAATTGGGCAGGGAGCAGCAGGTCACAAGACAAGCCAGCCTGTGCTGCACACTCATCTGGTCAGTGGCCCAAAGACGGCTGCCACACAGCCGACCAGGTCTATAGGGGACCAGCCACATGCCAAGGACTTTGTCTCCACTATACCAACCACGCAGCCACAGAGAAGACATCTCACTCAGTTCAAACAACAGGCCAAAACCAGCTCAGCCCACAGAGTCACAGCCCTGCGACTGGAGTCACTGTGTTCAGATGCCGATGCATGGGCCTGTGGGAGGGGGTGACCCTTCCTCTTTGGGCACAAAGCCGCAGAAGAGATTGAATCAGCACTTGGACACTGCTGCCCCGCACTCTCGCTGCTGCTCCCGCTGTACCTCTCCCCGGGGAGGCTCACACCCACTCCGGTCGCTCTAGCAGCCCTCCCAGCGTCCCGCTCCCGNCGGTCCCGGCCCGGTCCCGATTCGGGTCTGCTGTGGTGTAGGGCTCACTCACAGCTTGGATCCGGTCCCAGTCCAGGGCTGGGCACTGATCCGGGTCTAATCCAGGTTCAGGGCTCAGTCCCAGTCTGGGTCTTGGCGTGGCCTGCATCCAGCTGTGTCGGTCACGGTGGGTTTGTCCCCGTGAGGTTGCTGGGCCACCTCTCCCCGAGGAGAGACCAGGGAGCAGCCTCACAGCGAATCCCTGAAGGGGAGCAGCACGTTCCCCATAGGCCCTGAGCATGGCTGGCAGCTCATTCACTGCCCCTCCATACCCGCAAAGCAGCCCAGCCCTGCGTGCACTGGCACTGTCCTGCCCAGCGGCCTGCAGCCCTGCTCGCACTGCTCAGGGCACCATGGGCCATCCTACAAGGTGCTTGCAGTAGAGCAGAGATGCTGGCTCCCAGGCATGCTCTGGGGATCCTGGATTCTGTCTGATGCCAAAAGTGGTAACCTTGTTATAATTCTGTGCTGGCTCTTGGACAATGAGGGTACAGTGCTGCTGCCCACTGCCTGCAGCCTCTGATGAACAGGGAATGTGTCCCATGGGCACAATGTTGGGACCCAGTGACACCTCAGCTGCAGGTCCAGGTCCCAGACTGGACTCTGTCGCAAGAGTGTGTCCCAGAGCTGCAGCCAGGCCGGGGAGATGCAGGCAGCCCTCCACTGGCCCCTGACCCACCAAGGGGCATTCTGTGTGTACATGGCTGCCCATGGTGCCCTGGGCAGACAGAGGGCCCTTTCAGCACCGAGTGACGAAGCCCATGGGAATGCAGCTACATCCTGTCCTCAGTACATCCCATACCAAAGCCCTGGGACTTGGCCTCCCTCTGCTCTGTCCAGAGCCCCATGTGAGCATCAGGCTGTGCCCAGTCTCTGACATGCAGCAGGGCCAGGGATAGCCTCTGTACCCAAGGGCAGAGTCTTAAGCCTCTCTAGTAGGAGCAGTGGCTCAGCATGAGGGAGTCTCCCTGTGACCCCAGAGCACCCCAGGACTTCATGATTACGGCCAGAGACTTCACGCAGAGAGGCCCCAGGGTGCAGGGCTACAGAGCTGGATGTGACCTCAGCTCAGACCTCATACCCAGCAGATCCCAGCTCCAGCACAAAGCCCCACACACCCAGTGAGCGCCAATATTGCTTTATTTGGAAGGTGAATCCACTGGCACCTGAAAGGAGGCTGTAGGGGGATAGAGCTGTGTGACAGACAGGGCTGCAGAAAGCCAGGAGAAGGCACTTGTGGTGGCAGAAGCACCGAGGGCATTTTGGACAGCCTGGGCCAGGGGCTGCACCAGAGTAAGGCAGGGGCAGGCGGTGTCAGGGACCAGCCTTGACACAGGGTACAGACAGCATGTCCTGCCCAAGGAAGGGGTACATGGCCTGGGGCATGACGGGGTATGCACTGGGACAGCACATCATGATGGAAGTGGCGACCCAGTACCAATCCCAGACCCCTTCAAGGCCCCAGGTGAACCATGGCTGCTGCTCTACACCTCAAAAAAGGTGTCAGGGAACCCCAGGCAGTAGGCAGCTGTGGCCAGCTGCTGGGGACACCTGTCTCACTGATCTAAGTCTACAGAGAGATGGGAGCAGACCCTCCCTTGAACGGGGAGCAATAGAGACCTGCCTCCAGGGAGGGTGAGGAGGGCTTGTGGCAGGGCAGCCCTAGTGTGGCACTGCTCCAAAAATTCTGTCTCTAGGTGCCCATTTCTCTAGTCAGCCCTACATGGCGTCGTCAGGGCTTGGCACCTGGTGGGTTCTGGAGGCTGATCCAGGACTGGGCTGGCTCCAGTGCCAGTGTCCTCTTCTGTTCTCCAAGACAGGTTGTGCTCCCACAATGCCTAGCCCCAGCTCCCCCATGGCCAGAGTGCCAGCACAGACTGCTGCAGTGCTCACCCTTCCCCTCCACCCCACCACAGTCTCTAGGCCCAGTCCCACAGAGTCCAGAGATGAAGATTTTCCAGGATGATAAACCAAGTGTGGCAGAGACAGGCAGGGCTGCAGGCTGGTCTCCAGAACCATCAGCAAGGCTGTTTCTGTCCCTTTTGGAGTAGTCTGGCCCCAGGGCTGGTTCAGTGGCTCTGGTGGCTTGGAGCCACAAACCTCTCTTCAGGGACAGCAGGAGGAGAGAACAACCCCATGACTGGCTCCCCTCAGCCTCTGGGGCACCTGGCCCCATCCCAGGACTACACAAACTCCAGGGCTGGAGGAATTTTCCCCCTACCCAGGGTCACAGAACAGGTTACGGCTCCCCTTGTCCTTCCCCTCCCTGCACAGCAATGGAGGCCTTGCTGCCCTGCTCAGTTTCCAAACTGGACTGGGGTGATGCTGGATCTGGCTGTGCAGTACTGTGTGTCTCTACACCCCTCGAGTGCAGGGCAGGGAGGCACTGAGCCCTTAGGGCTCCAGTAAGATAAAGGATGTTTTCAGGCCAGACAGAAGGAGGGGCCCAGGCTGGGGAGGCCAAGTTCAGAGCCTCCCTTAGGGAATTGTGGAGGCGCCTTGCAGCTGGAATGGCAAGATGGGGCTGCCAGCAGGTCAGGGGGGGTTATGCCCATCCAACTCCCCTAGGCACTGCTGCCCCCAGCTCAGCTCCCCCAGGCCAGTCCCGCCTCTACCCCAGGGAAAAGTCAGCACCCACCTGAGCATGCAGCACTGGCAAGACCAGGGGATTTTGGCTTGAGTTCTAGGGGGGCTCCCAAAGATTGGTATCCCTCTTACGGGCTCTCCATTTGGGTCCTTCCACTTGCAGTATCCTAAGTCTGTCCAGGGCTGGGAGAAGGGCCTGTGCAGTGGCTCGGTGTCCATGCTGTCTCGGTGCTCTGCAGGGGAAGCCGTGCTCGGCGAAGGCCTCTGTCTGTCCATCCGTCTGTGCAGGAGTCTCTGGAGGAATTGCAGTGCAGTCAGCCAGAAGGGGATGGGGCGTCAGGGTCGTTTCATCCCAAAGGCAGGCTGTGTTCTGTCTGCAGCTGAGAAGGGGAGCCAAGTGGCACGGGACGTCAGATGATGTCTCGCTGGTCCTGGCAACGCCGCAACAGGCAGTAGAGCCCGGAGAAGAGGTACAGGCAGGCAGTGACGCCCCCGCAGATGGAGGCGCTCAGGTAGGCACTGTACAGGCAGTGCTGGCTGTAGCCCGGCAGGTTGCAAAAGCTTCTCTGCTTGGCCTTGTGACCCATGATGCCAGTGGCAGCTGCGTAGAGCCCCACACCCAGTGCCAGGTCGTGCACCAGGTTGGTGAGGAGCCAGCGGGAGCCCAACCAGGGCACCAGCTCCCAGCGCCCCAGCAGGCTCAGCCCGAAGAGGGCCAGGGTGAGGAGCCAGACGAGGACAGCGGCAAACAGAGCGAAGTGGGCCGCCCCTTCGTACTTATGAGCCGCTACCGTTACCCAGAAGGCAGCGCCCAGAGCCAGNGCGGTGCGCTCCCCGTGCCTCCCATCAGCAGAGAGCACTGTTCAGTCGCTGCGCGCCTGGCTGGGGCCATTTCTCTGACACAAAGCCTGGCAAGTTCCTGTTTTGCTGCTGTTTTGCCACGTCCTGCTGGTTCATGTGGTTCAGTACCCACCTTTTGGGCGATGTGCAGCCGGCTGTGAGCGGATAGACCCCGCCTGGATGCTGGGAGCCCCCTCCCATCTCTGCCTCTGCCTGAGCTGCACCGGCAGCTGCTGGAGAGGCAGCGCCCAGCCCACCTGCGGGGCTGTCTCTGCTCTGGTGCCTTCCCTGTGTGCTGGGGAGAGCTGTGTGCGTGGCAGGGCTCTGTGAGGTGTGCAGGGCTTCAGGGAATGCTTGCTGTTAGCAGGCAGGTTTGCAAAGCCTGGATAGTTGAGCAAAGCCCTGAAGCCCCAGGATCCTATCTGTGCTGTCCCCCTTGGAAGGAGTGTCCTCTCATCCCTGGGGATAAACCGGGTCTGCCCATTCGTGATGCTGAATCTGGAAACTCCACAAGCTTTCTGTTCCCTCTCCTGAGATACTCCCCTGAACACAATCCAGCAAATCCATCTCCTCTCCAAAATGCTTGTTTCTGTCTGGAACTGCCTCAGCAAAGCTCATAATGGCTCCTGGCCTGAGCCTGCACAGTGCAGGACCTCTGGGGTTCTGCTGGAGTGCCATGACAGAGGCAGCCAGTTCATGACACACTCCTCTTCCTGCCACTCACTCACATTTCACAGGGCTGTGACCCCCGTGGGCTCACATCTCCCTGAGCCCTGCAGGGGGGCGGGCAGCAACCCGAACCTGGCGGCTGGGGTTTCAGAGCCTGGGCAGGGCAGCTGTGCTCACCTCCTCATCTGTGCTGTGCCCTAGCAGAGAGAGCTGTCCCCAGGGCAGGCAGGCAAGGGATGCAAGGGCTCTGGGCAAGGTGAGCTGCTCCCCCTGCCCAGCAGCTCTCTGTGCCTCTCCCTGCCAGCTCTTGTCCTGCTGTGCCGGAGGCTGTTGCCATGACCCTCACCAAAGGCTCCTTCACCTACTCCAACGGGGAGGAGTACCGCGGCGAGTGGAAAGAAGGTGAGATGTGGCAGGAGGGAACAGTGCCACCTGTGCTGGGGGACAACAAAGCCCACATCTCTGCCCAGCTCCACACTGGGGCAGGTCTCACTCTGGCCAGTGCTGCCCATTTCTGCTCTCACCCAGGTCGCAGGCACGGCATCGGGCAGCTGACGTTTGCTGATGGCACTGCCTATGTGGGGCACTTTGAGAACGGGCTCTTCCATGGCTGTGGCGTGCTCACCTTCTCCGACGGCTCCAGGTGGGCACAGCGCTCCCGCGTGCACCTCCCCGGGCATTCCCCCTTGCCGTGGGGAGCTGCTGCCTCAGGAGACCCTCCCACACAGGTACGAGGGGGAGTTTGTGCAGGGCAAGTTCAATGGCGTCGGGGTCTTCACCCGCTGTGACAACATGACCTTCGAGGGCGAGTTCAAAGGCGGGCGCGTGTATGGCTTCGGTGAGTGCTGCCCGGCCCCTGCTCAGCTCTGCCCCTTCCAGCACCTCCCTGGCCCCATCCCAGTGGGTGCAGCTCCCTGCCTCTTCACTCCCAGCCCTTCCCTCCCCTCCCCAGGTCTCCTGACCTTCCCTGATGGCTCGCACGGCGTGCCCCGCAATGAGGGGTTCTTTGAGAACAACAAGTTGCTGCGGCGGGAGAAGTGCACGGCCATCATCCAGAGGGCCCAGGGCGCCTCCAAGTCTGCCCACAGCCTGACAGCGTGAGGGTGCCTGCATCCCCTCCCACCAGAGCAGGGACGCCCTGCTTGGGCACTGGCTGGCCCTGGAGAAGGGATGTGGCACTGCTGGGTGCCTCCCTGCCCTTCGTCCCCTCCAAGCATCCTCCTGCCAAACCCCTGCCGCTGGAGGGGATGGGACCCTCCGCTCTCCACCCAAGTGCCCTGGGGCAGCCGTGGTGCCTTCTCTTTCTGGCTGTAGCCCTGGCACCTGCTGGAGCAGCAGAAGGACAGGGTGGCAGGGGCTTGGCCCCTCTTCCCCCCAGGAAGACTGTGGACCACTACAGCTGCTAGCCAGCTGCAGAGGATGGAGCAGGGGGTAGAGGCTGGTCCCTGACCCCACTGCCAGGGTGCCTTGGCTGGAAGCTGCTGACTGAACCACCTGCCCCCAGAGGGGCAGCTCCTGGCTCACTTTGTTGCCCTGGTCCTGGAGGCAGGGTGGGCACCCCGGGCATGCTGTGGCCTGCACCCTCAACTCAGGGTGACTGGCCATCCCCCTGCATGCCCAGGGTACAGTGACACTGTGTCCCCAAAGAACCCAGCCTGCTCTCAGGCCAGCCAATGGGCTGTGTTCCCCTCATCCCTGTGCCAATCCATCCATCCACCCACTGCCTTGGGGACACCAGCAGCGCATCCCCACCAAGAGCGACTGGGGAATGCCCAGCCTGGTGCATCTGCTGCACACTGGTGAGGATGGCAGCAATGGTGAGCAAGGAGAAGGGTCAGCCGGAGCCTGGAGTGAGGACTGAGCAGGGCTGCATGGAGTGCCGGGGCTGGAGCAGGAGGCCTGGGCAGAGCGGGGATTGAGGTATGGTGACGGGGCAGGCAGGGGGCACACAGTTCCCCATTTTGCCACCCACAAGCATCCTTCACCTCCCCACTGCATGCTCACCTTCACCCCCGGTGCAGTCTGGCTGGCTGTGGCACAGGGCTCCCAGCAGCCCTCACTGCCCAGTGCAGGGGCTGTGCCTCCCTGCCAGCCTCTGCCCACACCGGGCCCCGTGCCTTGCTGTGACCCTGCCTTGTGCTACTGCCTGCACAGGCCTCAGCTGAGTAAACCATGTTGCCAAACACCTGTGCCATGTCTTTTTTGCTGGGAGCAGGGATGGGATGGGCGCCTTGCACAGAAGGGACTGCAGACACAAAGAGGAGACTGCAGGTTTATTCATGGCACAAAGATCCACCCCTTCCCAGGCAAAGACAACAGGTCCCTGGGGGCTGGCTTGGGGTTGCCCTCCTCCACCCAGTCTGCCCAGTCCAGCCCTGTCCAACAGGGAAGAGTAATATGGCAGCCCTCTCCTGGCCACCCCCCAGTGTCCCCAGAATGTCCCCAGTTCCCAGGGTCCCTGACTCCTGTAGCTGCCCAGTGTGGGAAGGAGCAGATGGAGAACAGCTCACAGCCAGCCATTGGCACTGAAGGTGCCCCTCAGCTCTTCAACCTGGGCAGGGCTCAGAGGGGCCAGGGGTGCACGGCAGGGGCCTCCATAGTAGCCAAACCACTCCATGGCCTTCTTCAGCCCTGGGATGCCAAACCGGCGGGTGACCTGTGGGACGGAGGGAGGGCATGGAGGCTTCCTGGCCCCCATGGGGCAGCATGCTCTCTGGGCTCTGCTGTGCAGCCCCTGCTCCCATGGCTTTGCTTGCCATCACTCTTGTCCTCCCCATGTGGGGCTGCAAGGCTGGCAGGGTGTGAGGTGGCTGCAGCACCCCATGAAGTGCCCACTGTGGGGTGGGGGGCAGAGCACACGCACACAGGACTCCACACAGGAGCTCTGTGGCACGTTGGGCTCTGCAGCAGGGACAGGCCACTCTATAGTGGGATGAGGGGCCCCGGAAAGAACAGCTTTTCCCCCACACACACTGCTGCCTATAAATAGCCAGCAAGGCTCTCACAGAGGGTCACGCACCACTGCCTGGTGCCAGTGGACAAGCTGTTCCTCAACATGACAGGGCTGGCACTTTCCACCTTCTCACCTCTAGCCTGTCTTGGCTCGCTGGCCAAGGTGCTGTGCCGTTCTGTCCCCCTGAACCACCCCTCCACCCCCTGCAGCCCAAGGGACTTCCATTCTTTGCCTGTGTCCTGGCCTGGCACCCCTCCCCTCAGCAGCCATGGGGTTCTGCCTGCTCACCGCTGTGTTGGGCTCAATGAGGCGGTGCTGCAGGTCCTGGGCCTCCTGCCACTGCCCCGTGCGGCACAGGTGGTCCAGCTGACACAGTGGGTCACCCAGAACATTGGCGAGGGCACACACACCCCCAGAGGCACCTAGAGACACCAGGACACCGTGGCAGCCAGCTCAGAGTGCTGTGCCTAGCCAGCACCTCCTGGTCTCTCGCCTGCCTCCCCCTGCCAGTGTCCCCAGCCAAGTCTGGGCAGCTGCACTTACCCACAGCGTAGCTCGCCAGCAGGAAGCCAGCTGATCCTGCCAGCACCTGGAAATCCTCCTGCCTTGTCTTGTGGATCATCAGCCCCATGCGGGTGATCTAGGGAGAGACATGCCATGCCCTGGGGCTGGCATCACCCAGTGCCCCTTGCTGCAGGGTGCCTGCGGGCAGCCCTGGGGTCCAGGGAAGGGCTGCAGGTCCCAGTTCCCCATTCCCAGCTTAGGTCCACGTTTGGTGGTAAGCAGCCCTGGGAAAGTCCTGCCCCACTCACGTCCCCACCGCTGTCCTTGATCCCAATGATGTTGGGGTGCTGAGCCAGGGTGGTGACAGCCTCCATGGGCAGGTCCAGGCCAGTGTTGGCAGGGACACTGTACAGCACCACAGGGATGGGGGATGCGTCGCCAACCTGCAGGCAGCCAGGCACATTTCAGTAGCTAGGGTGGGCTAGGGACACATTGGACGTGTGAAACCTGCTGGGCTGGCAGGCACTGGACAGGCTCACCTCTGTGTAGTGATGGATGAGGGCAGCAGTGGTCATGGCCCCCCGATAATAGCAGGGTGTCACAACCAGCGCCACATCAGCCCCTGCCTCTGCCATGCTGACTGTCAGCTCGATGGTGGCCTGGGTGGCTGGGGAGGAGGCAAAGTGGTGAGGGGTGCTCCAGGGGTGACACATGGCCCTGCACTGCCCCCCACGCTGCCCACACAGGCACTCACATTCACAGCCTGAGCCAGCCAGCAGCAAGCGGTCCCTGGGCAGAGCCCGGCGCACGCAGCTCACCACCTCCACCTTCTCACGGGACGCCAGGTAGGGATACTCCCCGTTGGAGCCCAGCACCACCAGCCCTGGAACACAAATGTGGGGAGGACAGGAGAAGACTGCCAGGACTGTCAGGGATCCACATTACTCTCACTCCGTTCTTTGCTGCTGGCACCCAGGCAGAGCTCCACAGCCCACAGTGTGCCCTCTCCTGCCTATGTCCTTGCAGTCCCAGCCTCCTGGTCAGAAGAAAGGACACTGGGGATTATCCTTGTGAGGCTGCAGCTCCTCTCCTATCATCTATCCATCCCTGGCAATCAACAGATACTTATCCCATGAATTTTTCAGAGTGTGCATGGGAGTGCACTGCACAGGTTCAAGCCTGCAGCTATGAGTGGAGCATGTGTGCAGGCCTGCACGTGTATGGAGCGTGTGTGCAAGCCCGTGCTGGCGTGTGCTGGGGGTGTGCAAAGACACACTCGTGTGCCTGGGCACGTGCCGCGCAGAGGGCCCCAGGTGGGTGACCCGAGGCGGTGCCAGCCACGGAGCAAAGTCCAGCCGGAGGCTAAGCACCCTTGGGAAGCTGGCAGGCTGCCCGCACAGCCTCTGTGGCAGGCGGGGATCGGGCGGGAGCCGGCACGGAGGAGGACGGGGACAGCGCTTACCTCGGAAGGGGATGCGGGCGTAGCGTCGCAGGTTCCCCTCCAGCTGGGCATAGTCCACCTCCTGTGTGGGCGAGAAAGGGGTGGCGAGCGGCGGGAAGATGCCGCCGAGATTGAATGAGGGCTCTGATGCCTGCGGGGTGCTGAGCCCCCGGCAGTGCCTGGGGGCTGCCCGGCGCAGAGCGGCCAGGGCGGGCCGGAGGCAGGCGGTGAGGCGGGTGCTGAGGGCCATGGTGGCTGCCGCTGCCTCTGCCGCTGCCGCGCCTGTTAATGTTTGACGGGGCACGTGAGGGAGCCGCGACCCCGCTGGGCAGGCGACATGGGGGGTGGCACCAGATGAGCTCAGGGTGTTCTTGCCCCTCCAGGAGATGGCTGCAAGGAGCTCAGCGCCCCTCCAGGTGAGCTTTGGCCACCGCGGCCGTGGCTTTCCCTTCTGCTTGCCAGCCCTGGCAGCCACCCCTCTGCCTCGTACAGGGCTGGGCTGCAAGGCCAGGGAGGGACCAGGCATTGCAAGCAGTCCCAGGGCTTTGGTCAGGGATCACCTGATCCAGCTGCCAGTGTAGGCTCTCCTGTAAACGGGTGAGTGTGAGCAGTTCCATGTAGGGAGCAGTGAGCACTGCACTCAGCATGTGTGCAAAGGGACCACGTGTCCCCTGGGGATGACTGCAGCAGGAAAGGCAGAAGGACAAGGAGCCATCCAACCCCACAGAGTGGCTGCCCAGCACGGGTACAGCTGCTGCTCTCTGGCACAGCCCCAGCCTCCAGCACAACATGGACTCAGGCTGAGCTGTCCTCCATGTATTTTTCCTCCCTGACCTTGCCCAGGTGGGACTTCATAGGACTGTGAGCAATCAGGACTCCTGCAGCAAGGAGTCCTGCCCTTAAACCACTTGGTGTCACCAATACTTGAGTCCTAGTGGTAGGAAGCAGGGCTCATCATGCTGCCAGATAACCCTGCTCCCAGATAACCCAGCTTCCCCAGGCCCATCAACGCTGGGATGCCCAACTGTGGAGAGCTTGGTTCAAACATGGCTTAAAGAAAGAGGCCATGAGAATATACAGCTGAAAGCAGCAATTCTCACAGCCTGTTTCTGTAAACAACTAGGTTCTCAGGGTTCTCAGATAGTTTTCTCATAACAGGTGAACATTCTATCTTTGTCTGTTTTGGGAAAGTAAATGTGAGTTTTGAGAACCACTCATATCACGGTGAGAACACAAACCACAAGTATTGAAAACAAAAGGAGGGGTTAGAGTTTGCTCTGTAGCCTATGATGAGCTCAGATTTTGCAATGTGTATGAGCTTGATTAACACTGTTATAAAAAGTGAATGTTTGAATCAATAAATCGAAGTCGATGCTGATCAACAAGGATGGGTCGTCTCCCTTCGCTTTCAACACCCAACCTCAAAGTCCCCTGAAGCCAGACACTGCTCTTTGCTGACTTTTATTGACACAGACAAGTCTTGTCTGGATCCTGCTCCTTGGAGCTGGGCCCAGCCCCTGGTCCCTGCCTGGCGCCATCATGCAGGGACCTCCATCTCCCCTTGTGGCTGCTCCTTGGTCTCCAGCGCCTGGCGTGTGTCCACCTGCCACTGCTGCACCAGGTCTGTCGGGGTCTTGCCAGCCTGCAAGAGTGGGCAGAGAGGCTGGGCATAGGGTGGTGCAACATGGGGGCAGGAAATGGCCTCAGTGCTGGCCTCACACACTCACCTCATTCTTGGCCATCATGTCAGCCCCATGCAGGATCAGCGTTTTGATGATCTTGTAGCGACTGAGCCGTGTGGCATCATGCAGCGCTGTGTCACCCTCCTGTGAGAGACACAGCTTCACTGGACAGTGTGGTCCAGGGACAAGGACCCTCTGCTTGTCCCCAGCACACCAATCTCCACACAAGGGGGACGCTCCTGTCCCAGACCTGGCTGCAGCTGCAACCATCCTGGGGCAGCAGTGTGTATGTCCAGATGCGCCCCACTGTGGGTGCTGGAAGCCCTTGGAGGGGTCAGCAAAGGGAGAGGGATCAGTGTTGCCTGCAGTGATGCCTGGATGGCTGCAGCACTCACCCTGTCTGGCGCATTGATATCCACCCCGCAGTGGATGAGATGCTCCACAATGTCAAGGTGTCCGGTTCGGGTGGCCACGTGAAGGGGCGTGCTGAGCAGCTTGAGGGGGGTGAGATGGACATCAGGGGGAGATCAGCACCCACAGCTGCTAACCCAACAGAGGGTCAGCTCTGGTACTCCAGGGTATGCCCCTGCCCCTGGCACAACCCTGTGACCTGCTCTGCCCTGCTCACCTTGTCCTTCACATTGAGGTCTGCCCCACGGTCCTGCAGCAGTTTGACAGCATCCAGGTGCCCACCCCGGCAGGCCCAGTGCACGGCCGTGCAGTCCAGCTGGACATACAGTGCTGTGTCATGGTGGGGGACACCCCTACCCTGTGCCTGTCCCCTGCCTCAGCAGGTCCCCATGCTGGAGCTGAACTGGCAGAGCCCTGCCTGCAGCCACCTCCGTGATGGGGACAGCACTGCCCCACTGCAGGGTCCCCAGTCCTGCCGTAGTTCTGGCTGCAACACACCCAGATGCTCAGACCAGCACACAGCTGGAAGCAGAATCCAGCCTCACCCGGTCCCTGAAGTCAACAGTGGCCCCACTGTCCAGCAGCTTCTGCAGGATTTCCATGTGTCCCTCCAGTGAGGAGCGGTGCAGGGCTGTGCGGTGGAACTGCGGGACAGGGTGGCACGTTGGCAGAGGGATGCATCCTCCCCTGTCCAGTCTGGTTGTACCTCCAGCCCTGTCCCAAGGGTCCCAGCGCTCACCCACAGGCGTGGTGGGGCATGGCTGCAGGCCTTGGTGGCATGCAACAGGCCAGGAGGCAACCAGTGGCTGCCAAGGATGCTACCTCATCACAAGTGTCAGGGGAGCCACCGTCTGCCAGAAACTTCTCGATGAAGTGCATCTTGCCCTGGACAGCAGCTCGCAGGAAGGTCTCTGGCTCCACAGGACCATCCTGACAATGGCACAGGCTCAGGGCTGGGGCAGCACAGGGGTGCAGGAGAGGGGACAACATGAGGGCCCCCTGCCCTGCTTCCCCATGAAGGTCTCTGAGTGGCAGGGTGACCCGGGGGCTGGCCTGTGGGTGGTGCAGCCCCTATCCCAGCAGCCCCCTCCCACAGCTTGGGACCCCTGACGTACAATCTCCAGGGGCTCAGGTGGTGGAGCGGGCTCGGGGGTGGCTGCCCGCTCTGCCCGGCGCTGCCGGCGCTGCTTGCGGAGCTCGATGAGCCGTTGGATGCTCCCCACGTCGATGATCTCCCGCCTCAGATCCACGGAGCTCCTCCGCACCTTCTCCTGGCCCTGCCGAGCACACACAGTGCCCCGTTTGACTTGTCTGTGACCAGCCACCCCTGGCCAGCCTGCAGCCCAGCCCACTCACCTTGATGGCCTCAAGGCCCCAGTTCCTGGGCCCGCGGCGTTTCTCCTCCTCCAGCTCAGGTGTGTTCATCCGCTCCACGGCCGGTGGCTCCTGTGCTCCATCCCCTCTGAGTTTCTGCACAGGCACAGCGGGTGCTGCATGGTCTTGTCTGGGCACAGAGCAGCCCCACTGCCTCCATCCTCAGCCTGCTGGGGAAGGTGGCTCTGGGCATGGCTTCACTCGCCGCTGAGGTCTGCAGGGTGCTTGGCAGCCCTTGGGCTTGCCTGCCCACCCTGCTTGGTAAGCTGGGCACCTGCTGGCTGCTCAGTCCTGCCCCATGGGCTAGAGCTGCTGGGTTGGGAACTTGATCCCCCTGAGAGCCCTTGGACACCTTCATATATCCCCCAGGATGGCAAGGTCGGTGCCAGCCTCCTCACATCTGAGTGCCTAAGGATGGACAGAGTACAATGGGGGTTCCTACAGCCCAGGAAGGCTCCCCTGCCCTGTGGACCCACCTCCTCCTTCTCCTCTTCTGCCAGCTTCTGCTCGATGAGCTCCTTGGCCCGTTCCACATCCAGCTCCATGTCTGCCTGCAGTGCACAGTCCTGTGCTCTGGATGTATCCTCTTCTTCTTGCTACCAGGGGCAGGGAGTTCCCAATCCTGTGTCCCGGTGCTGCCGGCGGCTTTGCTGGCTGTGGGGCTTTATGCTGCTGGTCCCTCTGTCCCACAGCCCAAGGGCACTGACAGCTGTGGCTGCTCCACATGACTGGGGCAGCTTTGCCATGAGCTCACCCTCCTGCTTTCTGGCCCTGACTCACCTCTCCAGCCACACACTCTCCTAAAGAGGCCCCCCCACACACACCCTGGGTTGACCAGGACATCTGTGCTTGTTACGGGGAGCTGCGGTGTGCAGAACCTGTGACAGCCAGTCAAGAGAGGCTCAGCACTACAGGGACATGATCCAGGGTCATCCCATAGGCATGTGGCACCTATGCCTGTGGCACCCACCTTGGGCAAGCAAGATGCTCCCATCTCTGTCCAGTCAGATGCTGCAGCAGCCACCAACATTGCCTGAGGTTCCCTGGCCCCTTGGGCAGTATGGGGGCCTGCCCACCCCAAAGGGAGGCAATGGGTCCTCTCAAGTCTCTCAGCAGCAGCAGGCAGCAGGGGATGCCAGGAGTCATGGCCCCTGTGTGCTGCTTTAGAGGATGACCTCAGGTGTGGAACATTCTGAGCAGCTCTGCCAGGGTCCCCGAGGCTGCCTGGCTCCCCCACAGTACATGGCAGGCTGGCAGCAGGAGTGGCCTCACGTGGGGCCAACAGGCAGAGCTGGCAGCTATTCCCGGCAGCAGGAACATTGTTCAACCCTCCTGAGAACTCCCCCCTTGTAAGGTGAGGCAAACACTGCCTTGTGCAGGGACAGTTAATGCGCTGGGCACCATCCACCAGCACAGGACCTGGGGGAGGGACGGACAGCTACACGTCATTGTCACCCTCCTGGGCAGCTCCCAGGGCCATCCTGGGGTGCCCTGTCCCATGGGTGTGACAGGCCATGGTGGCTGTAAAGGTAGTCTTGCACTGTTCCCCTCCACGGACTGCCCCACCTAGCGCAAGGGCAGACACAAGCTTAAACCTCCAGAGGGGAAGCACCAGGAAAGGGAGGTGGTGACCCCACACTAAGAAGCAGCTGGGATGACAATGGGACAATGCAGGGGAAGGGTCCTGGCAAGCAAACAGCTAGGGCTGGCAGGACAGGCTCAGGGTGGCACTAGGGAGCAGAGCCAGGGTGTCCAGGCTACCCTTGACCACCTTGTGCCCATTCTGACATGGGAGCAGATACAGGACAGGCACAGGGAGCACCAATGGCTATGGGTCACAGCCCCCTCCAGCCTGTCCCCAAGGCCAGAGGAAGGATGAAAAGGCTTTATTGATAAATACAGACTATGTACAGAGGGGAGACATCTCCACCCAGCCCAGCACCCCACGGGTCTCCAGGCCAGGGGGAAGCCAGAGCCCAGTGGGTCACAGCCTCTCCCTGCCGGCACAGCCTGGCAGAGGAGCCCCAGCCCCAGAGACGTTTGGTCTTGAACCTCCTTCAGCAAACACGGCGCCTGCCCGTGTCCCCGGCCAAGGGGAGCCACTGTGGTGGCACAGCCCCATGCACACCTTCCTGGGGGGTCACCTGTGTGGCAGCCTCAGGGGGGAGCAGGAACAGCTCCAGATGGGCCAGAACACAGCACAGGGAACTCCCAGAGGTACCACATCCCCCAGCCCCCTGCCCTCTCCCCTCAACCAGCAGGGGGTGGCTCAGTTCCTGGGTGCAAGGGGCTGGTTGACAATCACTTGCACAACAAAATCCTTCTGGATCTTGGTCTCCTGCAGTCGCGTGCGGTCGGTGAGCAGCTTGCCTGAGAAGAACCAGCGCTGCCAGGCCAGGTCAATGCCCTCCTGCGCCTGCAGCTGCTTCTTCAGCTGCCCGATGGTGTCGCTCATGCTGGCACTGAGGCGCAGGTCCTTGCCGGTGGAGAGGCGCACCTTGAGCGTGAACTCCCGCCGGGCGTGGGGCGGCGGCTCGGCCGGCTCCACTGCCTCCTCCTCGCTCCGCTCCAGGATCAGGTTGACCGGGGGTGCCAGGCAGTAGACGGGCAGCTGGTACCGGTTGCCCAGCTCATCATAGCACTCCGTCAGGGACCCTGGGGACAGCAGGATAAGATGCTAAGGGTGGGCATCCCCATGGACCACTCAGATGGGGACAAGGCCACCTCAAGCAGCATGGCACAGCCTGCATTTCTCCCCTTGGCTCTGGATGACAGGCGGGAGCCCCTTTCTACTCCAGCCTGGGACCCCAAGTGCCCAGATATGGAACATTCAGCACACACCCCACCCAAACCCCCAGTGCTGACCCTCACCATGGGGCAGGGTGATGCTGGCTCCATCGAGGATGGCCTGGGCCAGGCTGTGGTCATTGGCTTCTACAGCATAGGCAGCTGCCTTCAGGGCATCCCAGATCTCCTTGCGGCCTTCAAAGGCTGGTGCTGTGTCCCAAAACTCGTCCCGCTTGCTGCGCAGCTGCCCGTCTGTCATGGGGTAGTCACTCTTCCACTTGGGACACTCCTTCTTCAGGGGCTCATTGCGGCCTGCAGACAGGGGGATACTCAGCCAAAGGACAGGGTTTCCCCTCAGGTCCTGAGCCCCCCACCTCCCCACAACCACAGGTTCTTCCTGGAGACCTCCTGCACCCCAGCAAGGGTCTGAGGAATCACCCTGTCCAGTGAACAACAGCCCCCAATGTAGCCAGGGGTAACTGGCCTAAGCAAGCCTGGCCGAAGATCCCACTGGCCCTATGGCAGTTGCTCCCCCAAGTGACACCCTTTGCCCCCAGGGGGGACAAGGGCTCTTGCTTCCTTGCTTGGGGGACCAGCCACTGTCCCTTAGGGTAGCCACAGGGCCTCGGGGCCCTCTGAGGCAGCGCAGTATTTATAGCTTGGGGAATTAGCCAGGAAATAAGCTGGTGAGTCGGAATGAGAAGGGGATTATAAAGGCTGAGCTGCAGCAAAGGGGGGTCAGGACTTCACTGTCCCCTCTGCCCACCCTGGGATGACAGGGACCAGCTGCAGGCAGGGCAGCAGGCACACAGCATCCTGGGCACCAGGGGCACAGAGGGCATCGCTGCCAGACTGCAGGTGCCCCAGCAACGGGCTGAACTGAGCTGGCTTTCCCCAAACAGCCCCTAGCCACATCCCCACAGACCTTCAGCAGCCAGCACTGCCAAGGGATCTGAGCCACCCCAATGCCAGTCCCAGATCACCAAGCCCTCCCTACACTGGGCTGTGGCCCTGTGGGAACAGCCCTGTCCCGCCGGTCCCACAGCCAGGCCGGACATGTGGGGCAGGAAGGAGTTGTTGTCACTCCCAGCTGAGCTGGGGACAATGAATGATAACAGCTCCTTCCTGCCACCCCCCTCCCTGAGCTGGCCAGGCAGCGCCCCTCCTATGGGGACAGGATGAGGGGAAAGTGAGGCTCCAGCTGGGCAGGAAGATGCCTGTGCCCACACAGCGACCTGCCAGGCAAGGTGATGCCACACACCCCAGCCACTGGAGACAGCCACCACCGCCAGCTGTGGCTGAGCCAAGTTCCCCAGGCAGCTGCTCCTGAGCAACTGTGTGCTGACACACAGCACTACAGGACCTTTTCAACTGTACCAGCCCTGCCTCACCTTGCCCAAGACCACTGGAACCAGCATGGCATCTGCCTCGCAGCAGCACCCACCTCAGGGGTCCCCAGGGGCTCAGCTACCCTGGGGCTGGGCACTGAGCATCCCTGGCAGGCAGCATCCTGCTCACATCCCCGGAGCAGCAAGGGCAGCCGGCTGCAGCCAGCACTGCCGATTCAGCAGTCACCGTGCTGGGCCACAGGGATTTGCAGCACCACAGGACACGGCAAGGTCAGAGGCAACACCTGCCCCAGGAGGGCAGCGGAGAAGTGTCCACAGCCAGCCTGAAGGACATGTCTGGGATCATGTCCCCATACTGCTGTGGCCGCCAGGCTGGGGCTCATATTCTCACAGCCAGGACTCCTGGCCAGCACTCCCAGTCAGCACCATTCCCCCAGCTCTGCTTGCAACAAAGGGAAGAGGCTGGCCCAGGAGAGCAGCAGGACTGGAGCTGGTGGGGGGGGGTTGGCTGTGGCAGGGAGCAGGGACAGGCTGTGGCTGCCTCGTGTGTACAGACATGCCCAGCAGCCTTGCCCAGGTAGGCAGGGGCTTAAGCCTAGTCTATTTATTGCTACCACCCAGCTGGGCCTGCACCTTCTAATCACCTCCTGCTGCTCTATTCCTAGCCCCTTGTGCAACTCTCCACGGCAGCACCACCAGACAGGTCCATCCGCTCGCTGTGCCCGGCCTCAAGCCAACAGGATCTGGCTGGCAGCCTGCTCCTCCTGCCCTGTGCCTGCAGCACCCTGCCCGTGGCTCAGCCCCCACGGTGCCCTGCTGAGGGACCCCCAGGCAGGAGGATGTGACCCAAAGGCTTCCCTGCCTGCAGGAGCCTTAGGCAGCCCCAGCTGACAGGTCCTGGGGGCCCCAGAGAAGATGTCAGCCAGAAGGCACACACCACTGCTGCCAGCAGTGCTGGCTGGTCCACTCCCGAGCCAGGCAGGGCTGGGATGCTGCATGCCACAGGCATCCCCAGCTCCTGCTGTGGTAAGCTGCTCACCCCAGGGACAATGCTGTCACCTGCTGCTGGGAGTCCTCAAAGGACCCTTCCACAGGGGGTCACAACAAGCCCCAGCCAGGGCAGGAGCTGGCCAGGCAGGTGGGCAGCTTAGCAGGGCCCCTGTGGCAGCAGGGGTGAGCAGGCAGAGCCCCCCTCCCCACTGATGGTAGGTCCTCGTGTACTGGGACCTGCTGGCACAGGGCATGTCCCCTAGCAGCTGTAGCCTTGCTTCATCCCCCACCAGCTGCTGAGCAGCTCCCATGGGCTGGTGGAACCAAAAGGCAGGAACCAGGCAGGGCACCTGGCACAAGGGACAGCCCTGCTCCCCCAGGAAGGCACACACTGGAAGAAAGCAGCAGCAGCGACTCCAGCAGTATACCAGGAAGGGACCATGAGCCATCCCAGCAGAGCAAGTGGGGATGGAGACACAGGCTCTGCAGCCAGCTGTTACCTGGCACGGGAGGGGATCACACAAATCCAGATGTTGGGATCTGACATCACCCCCATCACAGCAGCCTGAGCCACAAGGCAATGACAATGGTCCTGCATCCCACCAAGCTGAGGGAACAGTCAGCCAGGAACCCCAGGCCTCACCGATACCCTCAAGAGGGCAATCCTGGGGGGCAAGGTGAGTCGGGGTGGGGCAGCCATCACCCCAGTCCATACCAGTAGGGCACCCCCGGGGCAGGCTGGCA